TTGTGACGTTTTTGTGTTTATTATTTAATTACGAATTGTATGTTGGAGTGACTTCCCCATGATTTTCATTTTCTTTGTTTTGTTTACATGTTATCTACATAAGCAGAGAACTGTGCTATGTTTCTGTATTTGCTAGTTGGTGGCACTTATATACTCACCACCTGTCTCTTTTCCCGTTGTCTGCCTCCCATATGTGCCTGCCGTCATTGGTGAGTGGAGCCTGGAATCCAAATTAGAATGCTGTCACTTTAAAATCCAAATTGGCCACCACTTGTAAACATTCAAAATGGCTGCACCCTCTGGACAGCAGCAAGTCCACAGCTCAGGTTGCCTCTCTCCGTGCTGTTTTCCTTCTTATTCATAGGCCACCAGTGCAGTTGTCCCTGCAGCCTTCGGCGATCAGGGCTGATCTGCAGGTCAATTCTCAGGTCCCAACACCACTTGGAAATATTCAGGCTGTTGGTCCCGTCAGTCAGCTGACAGTTCACTGTTCTGACTATCTCCGTACTCACTGTTTTCATTCATTCAGGTTTTTCCACTAGTTGGCACCTAATCCAGTTCTGTATACGTCAGGTCAATTCTCAGGTCCCACCACCAGTTGGAAATCCTCAGGCTGTTGATCCCGTCAGAGTAGCTGACAGTCCACTGCTCTGTCTTGGTACTCACTGTTTTTGTTCAGGGTTTTCCACTAGTTGGTGCCTAATCCACTTCTGTATACGTCCTTTCAAAGTTCAGGGATCCAGGATTATCTTCTGTCTCTCTGTCAATTGATTTCTCTTTTCTTTGTTGAAGAGGGTCTGTATAGCTTGTCTGCCATCTATAAAATAAAATATAGCCTTCCCATTTTATTCCTCTTCCTCTTACTCAGTGCAGTGGAATGGTTAAGAGCACAGACTGTAGAGCCAAAATAGTGAGTTTGCATCTTGGTACTACCATTTATAGCTATGTGACCTTAGCAAGTCGGATAGTCTCTGTACTCAGTTTCTTCAGTAGTATAACCCAGACAACAGAACCTACCTCATAAAGTTGCTCTGAGAATTAACTGACTTAATACATGTAAATGACATGTTGTTAAAAGGAAACATACCCTGAAGAAGAATATCATACTTAAAAAAGTAGAGGGTCAGCTAAAAAGGAGAAGATTCTCAATGAGATAGATTAACACAGTGTCTGCAATGATGGACTCAAGCATAGCAAGGATTGTGAGAATCGTGCAGGATGGGCAGTGTTTCATGCTGCTGGATGTGGTATTGCTCTTCCTCTTATCCTATCTTATAGATAAATCAGCAAATACATTAAATTACGTTTTGCTTAGACCATTCCTCGCTGCCTACTCTTTGTGATTACTTGTCTTGAGGAAAGATATGTGAAACAGATTTATATTTGAACTTGTATCTCTGGTCATGGTAAAGATAATATTTGAAATGGCTTACATGGCAATCTTGGCACAGGACTTTATGCCTTTAGTCTTTTACGTTGTGATATCATACATGGAACTGCTACAGATTGATCATTTTGTCTCCCCATAACAGAATAGTCAGTGGTCCTTTAGTATTTATTCAGCTTGAAATCTTTTAGGATTTTTTTTTCTTTATTCTTTTCCCCTTCCCATATACATGTATCTACATAAGAGTATTCTAAGGGATGATGATGTAGTAATGAGTTGTTCAGTGTTTGAATTTATACTGCCCTCTGCATGCCCACATTTAGAATACCTAACAATTCTAGTTAAGAACTTACTAATAAAGTACACCTACTTCTTACTTAAAAGGAGCTTGGGCAGTTCAAACCCACCAGCTGCTCCACAGACAGATGATGGGGTGGGGTGATCTACTTCCATAAATATTTACTGCCTCAGAAACCCAGTGGGAGTCACTGTGAGTCAGAATCGACTTGATAACAGTGAGTTTGGTTTTTGAGTTTTGACTCCTCACTTACCAACTATCTAGTTACCTAACATTTTGCATTTACAACAATAATAAAATATCTTCCATCTGACTTTTATGCACATTAACAACATATGTCTGGAAGAACAAACACCAAAGTGTGCAAGGCAAGAATAACACTGGGTATGATGGTTAATGTTATCTGTCACCATGGCTGAGCCATGATTCTCAGTGGTTTGGCATTTTGTAATAATGTAATTTGGCAGTTACGTAATAATATAGTCATCCTCCATTTTGTGATCTGATGTGATGCCCCTCCATTTTTTGCATAATGCTGATTTTTGCATAAGGACCTGGTCTTGGAATCTAACTATGTCAATAAGTGAGGAGTGGGTGTACATATTTTGCAAGTAGGCACATTAAGATCATGAGCATTTACCAAGATCATATAATCCTTTTATATTCTGGAACTTTCTTGCATTTTCTCAGTCATCAAAATTCTATATTCATTAGCCCATTTAGATAATAGCTTCACAGAGAAGACTATTTCACTTTGCACTATCAGAATTAGGCATTCCATTCCATTCTTTGCTTTTACGTAGCACTTTGTTATGAACAATCTCTGTACCATATTTATTGTAGTCTTATTTATGTACACATGTCTTCTACACAGGACTGTAAGCTTATTGAGGTCAAGGAAAATATTTCATTTGTACATATGTCCCTTCCTTCCCATAATAAAAGTAGCTCTGGTGATGAAATGGTTAAAGCATTCAGCTGTGAACCAAAAGGTTGGTAGTTTGAACCCATCAGCCATTCCAGGGCAAAAAGATGGGGCAATCTATTTCCATAAAAATTTATAGCCTTGGAAACCCTGTGGGGCAGATCGACTCTTGTCTTTTAGGTCTGCTTTGAGTTGGAATTGACTCAGTGGCAGTGGGTTGAATAATAAAGTACCTCACATCTAGTAAGTCAGTTGTTGAATTAGATTTTGATGTGAACAAAATGAGTCAACATATGATAACAACTGTTAAAATATCTGAATTAGTCTTACCAATATTTATATCCAGAACACGTGAGATAAATATAATAACACAGCTATAATCCTACCATGTGTATCATAATGTATGCAGTCTGGGACCCAGTCCTTCAGGAATATTGAGATGTGCAGATTGTTCAGAGCAAAGCACTCTCTGGATAGCAAGGATACTAATCAAATTTTAAGAAGCACTTAAGGAATGAGGGATGTTTACCTTAAAGAAGAGAAAGTGGGGTATGATAGCCATCTTTAGATTTTTGAAAGACTTTCAAGGGAAAAGAGAAAGTTGACCTATTCTTTATGAGTCTGGAGTTCAAACTCGAGTACCTGAAATCCCAGGGATATGCATTAGTATGGTGTTTTTTAAAAATTAGCAAAAAGAAGAGATTAAAACCTGTATTTCTCTACCCTCCAGAGTTATACTGAAATCTCCCAACCTTTTTCTGTGCCAAAGGTTCTGAACATTTTGCTGGACAGTGATTCCCTTGAATGTGATTAAAGCTATCATAAATATGATATTCAAGTATTATTCTGATACAGTTTCAGAAGAATCTTGGATCCTTTAGGATATCCGTGAATCTCTAGTTAGGGCCCATGCTCTCTTGTTCTGTTGTATGTGGTGTGTATGCAAACATACATATATATATTTTTAATAAAGATGGGATCATACTCTATATATTCATCATCTTTTTTCATTAAATACATTATAATAATAGCTACCACTATTACATATCCTATGCCAGAAATTGTACATTCACTTATACTCAAACCAAACATTTTCTCATATTAATGAAATGTGTATCATCTTAAATTAGTGGCTGTATTTTTTAAGCATTTTAATTTTTATAAATCTAATGATAATTTACAAAAAGTATTTTCCCTACGTTTGCTTTGATAAAGAAGAAAAGTGTTTTGCTTTTATTTTAGTAGTGACTTTAAAAAAGAAAAAGTATTTATCTTAGATAAATCATTGATGTACATAGATGTGTGTCTTTGCATTAGAATAGGTACTGGGGTCTAAGAAATAGAAGACCTAGCTCCTGGCTTTGGCTTTTAGTCACTTCTCTGAACCTCAGTTCTTATCATTATTATGGAGCATAAGGGACCCTGACTTAACACAGAGATTATAAAATAAGGTCAGGGAAAGAGTGTTTTGCAAACCCACCAGCCACTCCTCAGAAGGAAGATTGAGCAATCTACTTCCGTAGTGATACTGCCTTGGAAACGCAAGGAGGGGTCACTGAGTCGAAGACAACTTGATGGCACCTAACAGTACAACAACAACAAAGCATTATTAGATTTACTAAATGGAAAGTATTTGAGAATTCAAGGCAAACTTTTTTTTTTTTGTAAATTTATTTCCAGAGAGATTGTTGATTTATTGTAGTAGTAATACAATAATAATTATTATTATTATTATCATTAGTTGAGCATATACAGAGTGCCAGATACTGTGCAAAGCATTTACTTCATTTTTAGATTTTACTATATTACCTAATATATTTTATCATTATAATAATGTTGGGAGTTGTTCATGAGGAAACTCAGGCTTGCAGAAGATAAGCAAAGAATCCAGGCCATTCAGATTCTAAATCTTGGGTCTTAGGTATATGCTGAAAGAGAAGAGTACAGGTTCTGTAGGCAGCCTGCGTGGATTGAACATTGGGTCTGCCACTTAATAGCTGTTTGACTTCAACAAAGTATTTAACCCTTTTCTGTTAAATCGGGATAATATATGCCTACCTGACAGAGATACCATGATGATCAAATGAATTATCAACTGTGAAGCATTTAGAACAGTGTTTGACACTTGGAAAGCACTCTGTAATTCTATTATTTACAAACTATTATTCAGAACTATGCAACTTATTAAAAGCATTAGCTCACAGATCTACTCATTAGATAGTTTGGGGGTAGGTAAGAGAATGTGTTTTAATATAATCTCTCCCTTGAATTTTGTCACTACATCTTTCAGCTTTTTTATTAGCACAGTAGCCACATGAAAACAATCTCAATCATTTTCTATTTTAACTACTAAACCACCAATTAATGCTTTATTTTATATATTTTTTTAGGGCATTTCTGATTCATTTGCATCCTTGAAGAGCATCTGTAGAAGAGAAAGAAAAAGATGGGTGTGAAAACATTTACTCATAGCTCCTCTTCCCACAGCCAGGAAATGCTTGGAAAGCTAAATATGCTGCGAAATGATGGACATTTTTGTGATATCACTATACGTGTCCAGGACAAAATCTTCCGGGCACACAAGGTGGTACTAGCAGCTTGCAGTGATTTCTTTCGCACCAAACTTGTGGGGCAAGCAGAGGATGAGAACAAGAATGTGTTGGATTTACATCATGTTACAGTGACTGGCTTTATACCACTTTTAGAATATGCTTACACAGCCACTCTGTCAATTAACACAGAAAATATTATTGATGTCCTAGCTGCAGCCAGCTATATGCAAATGTTTAGTGTTGCTAGCACCTGCTCAGAGTTCATGAAATCAAGTATTTTATGGAATACACCCAACAGCCAACCAGAAAAAGGTCTAGATGCTGGACAAGAAAACAGTTCTAACTGCAATTTTACATCTCGAGATGGAAGCATTTCTCCAGTCTCTTCAGAGTGCAGTGTGGTAGAAAGAACCATTCCTGTTTGCCGAGAATCTCGGAGAAAGCGCAAAAGCTACATAGTTATGTCTCCTGAAAGTCCCGTAAAGTGTAGCACACAGACAAGTTCTCCCCAGGTACTGAATTCTTCAGCTTCCTACTCAGAAACTAGAAATCAACCAGTTGACTCTTCTTTAGCTTTCCCATGGACTTTTCCATTTGGAATTGATCGAAGGATTCAGCCTGAGAAAGTTAAGCAGGCAGAAAATACCCGGACTTTAGAATTACCTGGCCCATCTGAGACAGAAAGAAGAGTGGCTGATTATGTGACTTGTGAGAGCACAAAAACTACCTTGCCTCTGGGTACAGAAGAAGATGTCCGGGTCAAAGTAGAAAGGTTAAGTGATGAGGAGGTTCATGAGGAAGTGTCCCAGCCTGTCAGTGCATCTCAGAGTTCACTGAGTGATCAGCAGACAGTGCCAGGAAGTGAACAAGTCCAAGAGGACCTTCTGATTAGTCCACAGTCTTCCTCTATAGGTATAATGTCTTCTATGTTTTTCGTGATGCTATAAAGTCAATTCAAGAAACATTTTTAAATACCTACTAGATAAAAAATTTTGTACTGAATCCTATAAAACCAAAAATCAGAACTCCCTGCTGTCAAGTTGACTCCAACTCATAGCAACCCCTCCTTGGGTTTCTGAGGTGGTATCTCTATGGAAGTAGATTGCCCAGTCTTCCTTCCACGGAGTGGCTGGTGGGTTTGAACCACCAACCTTCTGGTTAGCAGTCAGATGCCTTAGGCATTTTGCCACCAGATCTCCTATTGGGTCCTAAAGTAAAGCATGATAACCAGATTTTTTTAAAGTACTATTAGCACTACAATTATTTTTATAAGGTATGTATTGGGGAAGAAAAAAAAATAGTTGGGCAGTTTCTAATGGAACAGAGGCAGATAGTAGGAGTCTTTAACTACTTTCAGTGCAAAAAAAAAAAAAAAAATACCAGGTTTTTAAAACCCAGTTAATCTCTTATTCTTTATTAAAGTATTTATTGAAAACCAACCATGTGCCTAACATTGAAGATAAGAGTTGAAAAGGACATAATCTCTGCAGCTGGAGAGTTAGCAGTTTAATAGAGGAAGCATATGTGTAAATAAGTGATTACAATGAATATTAGGAATTCTAGGGTAGAAATAGGAACAAAATGTAATGGTTCAGAAAGGAAAGAGCAAGTTTTTAACATTATGTATTTGAGCTGGTCTTAGTAAGTAGGGGTTTATCCAGGAGAGGAAATGATGCTTCGGTGAAGATTTAAAAAACTGTGTATAAAATCACAGAGATGTGGAAGAGCATTGCATGTCTGATAAGCAGTGAACTCAGTGCAGAATGATTTGAATAAACCATAGATACCTAAAAAGTGTCAAGAATAGTGGAAGATAAGACAAAAAAAAAAAGAAAAAGGGTGGTTGACAGTGAGTTGTGAAGAGCTTTGAACACTATTTTCAGTTAAGATTACATTCACCTGTATATAACAGAGTTCTTTCTATAGTGACTGAAAGCAGCATATTATTTTTATTACATAAGTGTTCAGAAATAGGAAATCCAGGACTGATGCAGTGGCTCTACGGTGTAACCAGTGTTCCAGGCACATTGTATATTTCTAATTCACCATCCTTTGCTTGTCAGTAAGGAACTCTGGTGGTGTAGTGGTTAAGGCATTTGGCTGCTAACCCAAAGGTTGGTGGTTCAAACCCACCAGCTGCTCCATGGGAGGATCCTGAGGCAATCTACTTCTATAAAGATTTACAGCCTTGGAAACCTAATGGGAGTTGCTGTGAGTCAGAATCGACTTGACAGCAATAAGTTTGGTTTGTGGTTTTAGCTTGTCAATTTCATCTATAAAGCTTTATTGCTTCATGGTTACTTTTATCTTCAGCCTCACATTCTGGAAAGAAATAGCATTTGTATCAGGAAAGCACAGATGTTCCCAGAAATCCCTAGAAGACTTACCATGTAAGATCATACCACATGGTCTTTCTTAGCTGTAAGAGAATCTGGGAAGATGTGTATTGTTTGGGTACTAAATTAGTTTCGTAGGGCTGCCATAACAGAGTACTGTGGAGCAGGTGCCTTTGAACTACAGAAATTTATTATCTCACAGTTTTGGAGTCTGGTAGTCCAAGTTCAGGTCGTCAGCATGGCCATGTGCTCTCCAAAGGCTCTGCGGGAAGATCCTTCCTTGTCTTTCTCAGCTCCTGGTAGCTTTGGTTTGCAGCTGCAGCTTAATTTCTTTCTCTGTGTCCGTGACATATGTCTGTCTCTGTCTAGATAATCACTGATGCTAAGGCAGTTTTTCGTATTTTATTACCTCTGAAATCCAGATGTGTGCTTTACAGTTGATGATCTGTACAATTTCATTTTCTTTCTTTAAAAAAAGTTGCTATCAAATTGACTCTGACTCATGATGATCCCCAAAAATCAAACCCACTGCCATTGAGTCAATTCTGATTCATAGCAACCCCCTGGGTTTGCCTAAGGCAGTTGACTGCTAACCAGAAGGCTGGCGGTTCAAACCCACTAGCCACTCCTCAGAAAGAAGACTGGGCAATCTACTTCCGTAGTGATACTGCCTCGGCAACCCAAGGAAGGGTCGCTGTGAGTCGGGGCCGGCTCGATGGCACATAACCACAACAACAACAACACATCTTTATAGCAGTAGATAGCCTCATCTTCCTCCCATGGGGCAGCTGATGGGTTTGAACATTTGGTGTAACTGATACTATCATCAAAGACCCTATTTCCAAACAAGTTAATTCACAGGTACCAGGGGTTAGGACTTCAATATATCTTTATTTGTTCCATAACAGATACAGCGTCTGCCACAGCAAGGCCAAGTAAGATTGGTTTGTATCCTAGTCATAGTAAGGAACCTACCTTAAAGAGAATAAAAACTAGAACATGTACAGAAAGTAATGTTTTAGGGAAATTAATTTGGTATTCATATGCAGGGAGTTTGGTTGGTCAGAGACAAGAGGCTTGGAATCTAGTCACAGTTTAGTTGTCTTGGTATGAATGAAGATGCTTAGAATAAAAAGAAAATGAGTATAAAGAAAGGGATAGAAGGGGTCAAAGTTGTCTGGATAACTCAATAATCATTGATTCTAAGTTTTTCATATTTTATTACCTCTGAAATCCAGGTATGTCTTACAGTTGATGATCTCTTATGATTACTTTTTCTTTCTTTAACGAAAGTTGCTGTCAAGTTGACTCTAATTCATGGTGACCCCACGTGTCTCAGTATAGAAGTATGCTCCGTAGGCTGATTTTCTCAGATTGCTAGACCTTTCTTCTGAGGCACCTTTGGGTGTATGCGTACCTCCAGCCTTGCAGTTAGTGGCTGAGCACTTTAACCATTTGCATCACTGAAAGACTCCCTTTTCTTTCTTAAACCAAAACCAAACTCACTGCTGTCGAGTCGAATCTGACTCATAGCTACCCCTCCTTGGGTATCTGAGGCAGTATTACTACAGTTGATTGCCCAGTCTTCCTTCCAAGGAGTGGCTAGTGGGTTTGAACCTCCAGCCTTCCACTTAACAGTCAAATGCCTTAGGCACTATGCCACCAGAGCTCCATTTTAGAGTCTATTAAATAAAATAATTGCAATATAAAAATCAGTGAAAGGGCACAGTAATTCACTTCTAAGAATAAGTCAGCAAGGTCAATTCTGTATGAATTACTTTTGGATCAAGTAATAAATACCATGCCACAAAGCAGCTGAAAAGGAAAGATTTTGGGGATCAAGGCTAAAAATTACTAATATGAGATTTTTTTTTTAAGCAGTAGCAGATTGGATCTGAACAAGGAAAAAAGTATATATTTATGCCAGGAGCCCTGGTGGCACATTGGTGTAGCACTTGGCTGCTAACCAACGGGTCAGCTATTCAAGCCCACCAGCAGCTCCACAGAGAAAAGCCCTGGGAATCTGCTGGCATAAAGATTACAACTTAGGAAATCCTATCAGACAGTTCTGCTCTGTCCTGCAGGGCCTTGTGAGTCGAAATCGACTCAACACACAACAATATATGACAAAACCAAAAGATTGATCTTCAGGACGTATCAATGCTCGACATTAGGAAGGGAGAGGAAAAAAAGCCAATGAACAGTAGGGAGGATTTCTCTAAAAGATTGGAGAACTGGGAAAGCTGTTTTAGTTTTGTTAATTCTTGTGTTTTGACCATGAAATACATACTGAAAATCATGTCCCTGAATGTGAATCAAGATACTTTTAAAGAATTTAAGTCATCACCCAAACCAAAGCAAACCCGCTGTCATCAAGTCAATTCTGACTTACAGTGACCCTATACCACAGAGTAGGTCTGCCTTATAGGGTTTCCAAGGCTGTAAATCTTTGTAGAAGCAGACTGCCTGTCACATTTCTCTGCTGCCATGGAGTGGTTGATGGATTTAGACCATCGACCTTGTTGTTAGCAGCTGGGCACTTTTAAACTACACCAAAGGTTTTCTTTAAGCCTCCCATCCAATAAAATATCTGATGGCAAGAGGTCATACCTCTTGTTTGATGTGACCAAGTTTTTGTTGAATTACTAGAGACTTTAATCCTGAAGATACCTTGATACCTTCTAAATAATAAGCTGTTGAATGAATAATTATTTTTAGTTGTTTATCTGAGAACTTAGAAACCTAAATATTAATCTAACTAAATACCTTGTAAACTAGACATGTAAAATAATAATTCCTTTACCATTCTCAAGCATATCAGTTCAGATTTTGCCTTTATGTTCTTATTAATATGATAAAATAGAGAAGTGAGGTACATAAGTAGAATAAACTTTTCAGTTAATAAGTTGAATTTGTTTCCAGTATACACTGTTAATAAGTGTGATTCTATATAAAGAAGACATTGGAGCAACTTCTCTGCTCTTACTATTATACAATAAGATAAATCCAAATGGGGTTTGTCCCTCATGCTTTCATATCTAATGTACTGGTCACTCTTAACTTACCTTAACTCCAAATCTACACTGTTTTAAAAAAATATATATATATCTATATATATTTTTTTTTTTTTTTTAATTAAATGCCTAGGATATAGTGGGCAGTAATAAACAATAAATGTGGGAGGGAGAAAGGGAAGATGTGCATGGTATTTTATCCATACTGTGTTTAGAATACTTAATTACTGGTTTATTTTAAAAGTTCATAATTCTAGGGATTGAGAATATTTGATAAATTCATTATCATAGTGGCTTCCAGCCAAACAATAGACAGGCATATAAGGTGGAACAACCATCATGGGAGATCAGAAAGCAGTATTTGCATAGGGAGGCAGCTTTAGAGGGCAGGAAGGCATAGGAAAGAAGGACACAGGGAAAAGATAACCACAGATAAGAAGTGAGAAGAGAGATGTTACATTATGGGGGATGGCAGTCAATGGCATGAAACAAAATGAATATGAATTGCTATATGGAAAAGGAATTTGCTCTGTAAACTTTCACCCAAATCACAATTAAAAAA